AAAGAGGGAACCATTAACTGTATGGCAATGGAAATGAAGCTTGCAAAAAATTCAGATGTAGGATAGTGATTCCTGGGTATTTAAATTATAAAGTGTCAGAATTGTGCCTGTGTTTCTGTAATAACAAGCCACTATCCACAGTAATCTTTTTTGTTCCAATGTCATAATCTGATTGCTTCCTCAGTAACATGTAACGGTGCTAAATCTTGAGAGAGTCCATGTTATATACCGAGGAAATGACTAATGACTCATTAATATGAACCACCCATGGTAAGTTTGCTTCAAGAAAATGTGAACTAAGCACGTAAGAAACCTGACTACCACCATCTAGCTACCTAGCATGGTTGTACCTACATTATTGACTGGTGAGGTACAAAGAAGGAAGAACTGGAATTAATGTGATACAATTAATTACTGTTCCAGGACATATGCCCACAACAGGTGTTTACTGGCCATAAAGTTCAGATTGGGTACTGCTCATAGTTGTGCACCTGATAGGCACAGACATGTATCAGGAGCCACACCTTGTAACTTCAACAGTGTTTCTGCACGTGCAGGTATAAGTCAAACTCACAACAAAATGTCACTAAAATGCAGGAAAGGTGCTAGGATCATCCTTTCAGTTATTCAGATACAGATCCATAAAGATTATGTTACGTTTATTCAGGCAGTTGCATTGTTGCTTGTTCCATTTCTAAAATGATTTAAAAGTTACATAATACCCAGATTTAATTATTACTGCCATTTTGTTCAAGAACTCTGCCTTATCAAAGACAGAAGTAACATCTATGTGTGCATATTTCTTTACCTTCTCTGGATCATGATTTATATGAAGAGTGTATTCTTAGGTGACTAAGAAAAACCTCACTTAAATGACTTATATAAGACTTTTCAATAAGACAAAACAAAACAGATTAACTACAGATGCTACTTAATTTATTCCTAAAGTTCTAAAACATGTTTCTATAAAAGAGCTGATTGTTCTCTCAAGCTTTTAAAGCTTCACTAGGATGCTGACATGTTTGCTAATATAATCTCTCTTTTTCTTATTTGTGTATATATATTTTTTAGAGAAAGCTGGAGTTGGAAATGGACCTTCATATTAAGTAGGTTCATTTACATGGAAGTGATAAGAATTTACTGCTTACCAAAATGAAAGGTAAATCTGAGTGGTTTTGAGAATTATTGCTGTGTACTATTCAAGAAATAATTCTCTAAAAATAAATTGTATATGCCACACATTAGAGTTACCAACCATGTACATAATAAATGATTTAGTACTGTCAATCTATTTTGATTTTTATAGCCTTACCTTTTGCTATACAACTGTTATTCCTCTCCTTATAATTTTTCTCGCAGGCACATTTGTATGACCCCTTAATATTATTGCAGTGTTGGGAGCAGGCACCAAATACCATACACTCATTGATATCTATGAGGGAAAGAATTGAAATTTATATATCTACAGCTTAATACTCTATTATTTAACAAGTTCGGAACATCATGGAACAAATCAGACGAACAAAATGAATTCTTAAGCATTGTTGTGTCTTGCAACAGTAAAAGGAATCCTGCTGCAATTATCACTAATGTTATTTCCACTGCAATCAACGTATCTAAAAAAGATATATTATTTCTCCATCCTTCTTATATCAAACCATTATCATCAGATCTTAAAATCAACGTTGAGAATGAAAACATCTGTTAAAGTTATCATCAACAAACCTATCTCCGTTACAGATGAAACTACATGATCAACCCTTACTGGAACACCTCTTGTATATATGTTTTTCTTAAGAGCCAAACAATGAAGTTTTGGTATGCAAGTATCTATTCACTTTGATAGTCCCACTGAAGTGATCAATGTTTTCCTGCTTTTTATTGCTCAACAGTAAGAAAATGAATTCACAACCCATTCTTTGGGAAGGTACATTTATCTTATCTTTTTATTCAACTCTTTCATTATAACAACTACGTCATCTTTTCTGACCAGTGTGGCATCATATATACAAGACTACATTTTCTAAGGTATTTTACTTTCAATCTGTTTATTTTCATTTCAATTTTCAGTTTTACACATCTTCATTATTTTAAGCTTCTCAAAATCTTCTCATCTGCTAACTAAAATGCCAATAACAACTGCTCAGTAAAATAATCTGCTAGACCTTAAATGGCCCATTTATCCCCTAAATTATAAAATCATTTAATGGCCTGACTTGAACCTTTTCACATTCACAACCAATGTTAATCTTTGACAACCTCTCCAGGTAAACTGCATAAATCTACATCCTGTAAATCCTTTCAGTTTCTTTCTTTGATTTCTTAATCCCATAGCTCTGAAAGAGTTTTTACTCTGCAGAAAAAAGTATGTGATGTGTATCACCTTCTCCAGTATAGAAAATTGACTACACAGTTGACTTTTAATACTTTACAGCAAGGGATGATGGAAAAGATCTGTACCTTCACATTGTCTATTCCTCTTGTTTCTCTGAAATCCAGGTTTACACTGACACAGTAGGGATGTCTTTGTTTGATTACAGTATGCGTCATCTCCACAAGGATTCACGTTATCTTCACATGTGTATTCAGCGACACCTAAACATGAATGAAATGTCTAAAAATAGCCTTATGTTTTAACTGTTAAAAATCAGATCTAAAGTAACAACAACAAATAACACCACAACAAATAACACCACAAATTTATTTTTCTGTTAAAAGATCAAGGTAAATTTTAAACAAATACATGACATTACTGTATTTACCTACATATGCACATAAATTGACACTGTTTAATTGAGATACTTTATTTCACATCAAGAATTTAATACTAATTTTTTTCTTGCTGCAGACAAGAAATCAAATGCAGTCAACCTGAATTGCTATAAAATTTGCTTTCTTCTTGTGGTATGTCAAATAGAATTAACTCTTCTATAACTAAAGAATAACTAAGTTTATTTAACTTCTGTGTTGTTGAATAGGTTTTGCATGGATCAAAGTCTCAGTTAGTTATTTATTTTCTGCTACAATCATGGAAATGTGTCTTGTCAGACAAACTCACTTATTTTGCAGTCTTGCTCATCTGAACCGTCTCCACAGTCATCAAACCAATCGCACTGTAGCTCCATCGGAATACATTTCTTATCCTTACAAGCAAATTCGTCTTTTTTACATGGCCTTGCTTTATATGTGATTTTATCTATATAATTACACATTAATAAGAGAAAAATAAATCAGTATTTATGATTCTTAGATTATTTTTGACACATACAAATGGGAATAACCATGAAGCACTAAAGAAATGGAAATTATTTCAATCTTAATTTATTTCAGTTTCAAATTCTGATCTACTAACCTCCAGTTAAATTTTACTGAAGGACAAGCAGATCTCTGTAACAAAGTTTGCCTTCAAGTTCTTTTCTTTGCTCTGAATGCCTTGAAAGGTAATATCACCTACCACAGTGATCTTCATCCGAGTTATCACCACAGTCATCAACTTCATTGCAAATCTGCTCAGGTCTTAGACAAACCCTGTTGTTTCTACATCTGTACGGCCTTGTTGGAGGGCATGGAAACTTTACTGTACATTTAAAAAAAAGCAAAAAAAAAAAAAAAAACGCAAAAAAAAAAAGAATCCACTATTACCCAGCTAGTATTCTTGAACCTTCTTTAATGTCTCCTTATCAAAGCAATAAGCGGGCATGGGAACACAGTTGTACCTGACATATGAATGGTGCTTGATTTTAACTTCTGGTACCTAATGTAATAACACTTCAACAATTTTTACAGTATAAGTTTTTCATTCAGGGAATTAAATTATTTTGTGCACTAAGGGTAACTACACTTCTTTTTTTGAGAATCAGTAAATATGACAGAAATAAAGCAAAGGAAGTAGGAAATTCAATGATGATCAATATTTCCATGTAGAAGTAATTCCTATCTGTGCATTTCCTACAAAGAGATTAATTTCTAACAAATATCTTATCTGAAATTACATGAGAAGCAACAACAATGGAAAAGTATATCCCACATTTCAAGATAATCTTTTAAAAGTCAAATAAATAAAACTTAGACACATATGTCCTTATACATTTACGCATGTTACATGTAATTTCTTGCTTTACCACATGAAAAGCACTTGAAAAATTTAATATCATACCACACATTTCAGCAACTTCATCAGAGTTATCTCCACAGTCATCCTCGCCATCACAAACCCAAAAATGAAGTTTGCAGAGGGAATTGTTGCACAAAAATTCATCAGCTCTACATATATTTCCTCCTGGGAGGATGAAGATAGAAAAAACCCCAGGAAAACATAAAGACAAAAGAAAAAAACATCAGTTCTTGATAAAACCAGTACAATCATTTACATGTACTATCTGCAGAGAATGACGCACACAGCATAACTAAATGAACAAATCTCAACTGAAAGAGTTGGAGAGGCAGAGAGAAATATTAAAAACCTCTTCCTTGACCACACACTTTTCTCACTTTCTTTCCATGACTGTTAGCTGTGAATTCCCTATTTGGTCTGACTAGAAAGGGCAGTTATCAAAGACACTGACAACTCACCAGTTAGGTGTGTTCCCCCTGCATTTAGCCAGGAGATGATTAAACAATCTTTCTGTCTATAACTTCCTTTGGTGATGCTGCCTTTCAGAAAAGAGCTGGCAGGGTACCTCAGAAATTCGTGCTACCAGAGAATGGTACAAACCAGAAGACACAAATATAGGCAAACTTGTGAAAGGCCACTTCAGTTCAGGTTTGTCTCATATGAATGTCTCATCCTCCACCTATTCCTACTCCCACTCTCTGAGACACACATTGTGTTCAGAAGAGACGAAGTAATTGCAGTCCCTTAGCCATGAGGTAGCATCTTTTTCTTCTCCTGCGTAGTAATATGCTCAGCCAGGCTTTTAACATCACCATCAGCTATAAACTCTGTATTTAGCCATGTAGGCACAGGGTACATAAGACAAGGTGACCTCTAACAGTCTTCCCTTTTGTAACTTCTGAAATTTCTCATTAGGATATTTACTGAACACAAATGCAGCAATAATAAATTATTTCATGTAACTTTAGCATTGATTGAACCCCGAATCTTCTAACAAAATGGAACAGGGGTTGAGAAAAAATGTTTTGAGATCAAGTGCTCAAGCTTTAAAAATCGGTTCAAGTTGGATTCAGTTTTAATACATGTAGCAGTAAGAAGGCATTTTGTTTCAAAATTATAACTAAATTTTACCACTACCAGTCAATGAAGTTATAGAAACGTATTGAAATTAGTTTTCTACCTAACACGTTTTTATAGTAACAGGTTTCTCAGTTTCCTGAGAGGAACAGAGTATAAAAGAAATAAATCTGTGTACCTTCAGAAGAAGAAACAATTAAATTTCATATGATAACACCAAAAATCTCACTGTGGCTTGCCTCAATGCATTACATCCATCCTAATAGTTAGATCAGGCTCCAGTGGTTTTTTTACTTACTCATTCAGTGCCCTGTTCACACCCCATTAAAATCAACAGAAGGCTCTCTTTCACTATAAAGGGTTCAGAATGCTTTAAAGTTTTTTTCCAGAATATTAATTTGCATGAAATACCCACTGTGTAAGAGGATGTTGGGAACTCTCACCCTCCCATTGCAAATATAACTTATGAACATTAACAGAAATTTTCTCTATTATCATCTAAGGAAAAATATATGATATTCAAGTATTCTTTGTGATGAAAGACATGAATATATATAACTGTGTGTGTAATCACAATAAAACCATATTTCTAGTTGTATAATAAGATTGAAAAGAGCTATGCTGATAAATATGCACAGTGGGCGACAGATAAATATTACAGAGATTGTTTTAGAATGCTGTAGAATAAGACTCCATTTGTGTTTGCAGCATTTCCAAGGAGGAAAAAACTAGTTATCAGTGAGATAAACTGGCATTTGTTTCATGTGATTGCTCTGCCTATCATAATTCCTTTATAGAATAGATTTCTATAACAGAAATCATAATTGTGACATAAATACAAAGTATTATAGCAATAACCAACTAGGCAAAAGGCTTCTTATTGCATTATAAGCAATTTGCAGTTCACAGAAGCTCCATTATGCTATCCAAAGATTAATGTGGGCTCCAGATAAAATAAGTGCGTTACTACTTACTTACACTTCACTGGTTTTTAAAGAGATACAGTCCAGATATTTTAAAAGCAGTTTGAAAATGGACTAGACATTTTTAAAAATGTTGTTGCTCCCAGTCTTCTCAAAACAATTCATTCTTCAATGCTTCCAAATATGGTATTTTTCTCTTTGCATCTAAACATCTCTAGAACATTCTTCCCATTTTCTTCATTTTTCTGCTCTCTTTCAAACTTAATAATCCCATATTTTTATTTTTTTTTTCCTAGTGGAAGGTGTTGGTTAGCGGACTTATGGCAAACTAAGGGAAGGATATTTTACTCTGCAATTGCTTGCTTCATCTCTGATTAGTGTTACTTATTCCTGTATTGTATTGTATTATGCTTTTGAAGCTACACACATACACATATAATGTGATTGTAGATGACTAACACATAGAATTGCTACCCTTACTAAGAATTTTGTGCAGTTACACTGCTACTGTTTGTTAGCTCGAGAAAGTTTCAGTTAAAAAAAAAATAGAAATAAACATCAGGTAGAATACTATAGGGAACTAATTTAATAATGTTTAATTGCATACATCTATGTGTGTATTTATATATAGATATGTATTTAAATATATACGAATGCTCAATTGAAAACATACATTAGAACAAGAATTTGCAGAAACTATGAGAATTAGACCAACAGATGTATATCTCAAAAACACATTTTGAAGCTTAATCATAAGCATGAAAGCCTGAGCACAGTGTTTAGCTTCATGTGAATCAACTTTTGTGCACAATTCTGCTCTATAAGGAGAGAGAGAATTCAAAACATGGTTTTATGGGTTCTGGTTAGTTGCAACATTTCATCTCCATGGAAATAAATAGAAAACTGAGGTCTCAAGATTACTTATTTAGCAATTTTTCATTATATTGAAGAGCCTTGTAATTTATTGTTGCCTATAAAACTGTAAATTAACTGGATTTATCACTGATTTCTCTGATGAGACAGAATATGCTTCCAGTAATAACACAATCTTTTGATCCACGGGGAAGGAAACACAAAGAAGGAGCAATGAGCTGTGTTATAAACAATGTAAGTTTTGCTTCATCCGGCAAATGGCTTGTAAAGCTGCTATACTGTCTCTGTTGAAAGAGGTCACAGACCTTTCATTTCATCACTTAGAATGGTCAGGGTACCACTAACTTACAACATGTGTTATTACAAAAAACAATATAGTAAGCACACGAGAAAAGTGTCTCTTGCCTTGGTCACAGTTTTCTTCATCACTGCCATCCACACAGTCATGGATCCCATCACAAAACCATCTGACAGGGATACAGTAGGCCTTATTCTTGCATCGAAACTGATCTTCTTTACAGTCTGTTACACAATCCATCTGTGTGAATACAGATATGAAATAAATATTACTGAATTAGAACAACAACATATTTAAAGACCAACCTAACAAAATTTACCGACACTGTTTTTTGTCACCCTAAGTATTTAATTCAATAAAGTTGTTCCTGACAATTGAATGTGGAATGAAATAGTTACTGAAGTCCAGGTGAAATAGTAGCAACACGTTACATATGTTCTGATATTACTTCTTTATGTTGCTTAGTATTAGCAATGGAAACAATGACTACCTTGATATTTCTGCAGACAACTGCCCTAAGAAAACCAACCCTGAATATGAGGACACATAGTGCAAACTGGCTCATATCCATATCGATCAGGACTAGAAACCTCCAGAGTGGATTGTCTTCACCAGCACTGTGTAGCACTTGGCTCAGGGATCCTTCAGGTTCCAACTGGCACCTTTATGGCTCTGAGAAATAACAACTACTTCTGGTCTTTTTTATTGAATTTGTTCATGAAGGTGGTAATTCTTTAAAAAGAGACCAACAGTGCAACATGTAGGAAGAGCAGTGCCTGCTAGGACTGTATTAGGTGAATCTAGAAGACATGGGAGCCAAACATGACACAAATTTGTCCACAAATTAATTTGGAGCAGTCCCTGAAGCAAACTCCCACAGAACCATGTTCAGATTTTGATTTAGGGAAAACAAATTTGTCTGCTCCAAAAGGTGGCCACAGAGAAAACAAACATAATGCATTGTAACTACCAGTGAATCAAAATCATGGGACTAAGTTCAATGGTTGCAGAAAAAACCAAACCAAAAAAAACCCAAAACAAAACCATTTGACCTTTTAATCAGTCCTAAAACTTAACAAAATTACATGCCAGACAGTAGGAAAAAAAATACCCAATTAAAGGTTGTCATCTACCTCATCAGATCCATCAGCGCAGTCATACTCTCCATTACATTTCAAAGATGCCGAAATACAGCCTCCACTTGCACATATGTACTCACTTGAAGAGCAGGTTGGAGATGCTGGTTACAAACACATGTTTTAGCATTAAGAAAAAGACAATTTATAAATAAGTTGCTTTATAATTTTATGTTTTCACCTCATTAACATAGTGAGTAAACATGTATTTATAGCTGACCAGAGCTTTTACAAACGTTCATGAACTACAATGAAATATTTGACAAAACTTAATTGTTGCATCCTAAGTAAAATGTACAATGATAGTGAATTGAAATTTGTGTTTTATCACTGAGAAATTTCTTTTTGTGTTTTCCTTGTGCTTGGTAACAATGGTTACTAAACACATACACATATTCACAGAGTGAGCATTAAAAAATGGCATTCTTTAAAATGGGCTTAGGGTTTAGCTATGTATGTTAAGTTACTAAGTGCTTATAATTAAATAAGATAAATTTATAAGAAACCATGGTTTTAGAAAGTATACGTTATTACAATTAAAATCAATGCATATTAATCAGTTTCTTTTAAAATACAGATGGACATTTTTGTTGCACTGGGAAGAGGGGAATTTTGTCATAGGTTTCTATCAGTTACATCCATCTAGACCAAGCTTACAAAAAATTTAGGAAAAATCCTGCAAAAATAAACAACTATATTTTTCCAAGACAGCAGTAAGGAAACAATAACAGCAACAATAATAATTTTCTAGAGAAAATCTTTGCATAAAGACTAGTAAAAATTGAATGAACGCTACAAAGCAAAAACTCCACAGGGACACTTTAGTAACATACCAAGAATTACTGCTCTTTTCAGAGCAGAATTCTATAAGCTGAGTATACATTATCAATTTATATTTCAATATGATTAAATTAAATACCATTCCCCCAACTAGCGTCATATTGCATAGCTGTACATAAGTGGGTTTTTCAAAACACAAGTAGGAAGATACAATGAAACACATTCAAAAGATAAAGCATTTCAGATTTCTTTGCATTCCTCCCTACTCCTAGTGCACAAGGAATCTTGATTTGTTGATTTATTTTTTCCTTATTTCATTCTCATTTATTTCCTTGTTCCATTCTGTTTTATTTCTCAGCATTATTTAAAACAATACCTGGTTCACAATTTTTCTCATCATCCCCAAGTTTGCAGTCTTCATGACCATCACATTTCCATTTGGCCGATATGCACTGACCATTGGAACACTGGAACTGATCTCTTGAACAGCCTGTTTCACAATATCTCTGGTACAATAAAAAACAATGTACGAGATCAAGAGTTTAATATAAATATTGGCAAATACACGGCTAATCAAAGAAGTTACAGACTAAAGTCCTCCACACTATGAAATACAGTAATTCCTTGTGAAATAAATTGGTAGCTGTGATTCATGAATGGTGGTTTACACCCTCTAAGTAGGAGGGAAGCATCTGAGGTCCAGCACTGGCAAGAAAGAAAAAGAGAGAAGGGGGACAGGAAAGAACAGAAAACCAGCAAAGGATTATCCAGTGAGCTTCTGCTTTACAACAGTCTACACTGTTTACTCAAAAAACCCACAAAAAAAACAACTAGGACACAAAATATATCCAGGATGGGAAGAGGTCGAGATTATTGCTTATTATTAAGACTATCATTAAACATGACTTGATTTTATTTGTACGTTCTCTTTTTAGGATAACTATTTCAATAGTCTAGTTTTAATTCAGTAAACGCATTTGCACATATGGATTAATTTGTAGAATTCTCATTGCTGCTTTTTAAAATACTGATATGTGGGAATCTCCAACACTATAAAACTATTAATTTTCTAAAGAAATATTTTTCCTGGAAGAAGCCTACCTCATCTGAGCCATCTGCACAGTCATAGTCCCCATCACACCAGAATCTTGCTGAAACACAGTCTCCATTGGCACAAAGGAAGTCTTTCAAAGTGCAAGTTTGAGGCTCTGAATAAAGAAAAGTAACAAGCCTAGGTTTATTAGCATTTGCATAAGATATTTTATACATTAAACCCCCCAATCAATGAATGAATATAACAAAGTCCAAACCACTCACTTGCAAACTATAAGGACTTTTTTTTCTGTGGCATTTTGTTTCATAACATTTTATAACTATATTTTATTTATATATAGTAAGATAGTAATTAAAATACTTTCAGTTCTATCAAATTTCTTTGGAAAATTATGTGATGCTGACTATATCAATATTATTTATTTATTATTACAGGTTTTGTGAGATATGTACCACAGACTAGAAATTCATTTTGCACCTGTTAATATCCAATGCAATTACAAGTAACCAGATCTCTGATTTTCAATCATACAATAACATACCATTTATCAAATACCTTTTAACATATGTGTGTGCCAAGAGTCAACTTCCCCTTTGCTAAGCATTCAGGGGAATAGTACTGAGATGGTAAATGGAATGCCTAAGAGTTTAGAGTTTCAAGTAAAATAATTCAATTTTCCAGAAATTAAGCATGACAGGAAACATGACAATAATTCACTGACTTAAATACTTACAAAACTGCTTGAGAGATTAACAGAATGAGAATACAGTCAGTTGCAAAAGTCAACAGAAAGTATGTTGTCATAAAAACACACTACTGTCAATATGAGAGAAAACAGAAAAAAAAATAAGGGAGAGAATTTTCAAGTAATTTTAGGGAAAACAGAAGTGGGATGTTAGATAAAAAAGAATCTGAAGAGCTTACAGATGGATAGAAGACAGTAAAGATTAAAAGTTAAGTGGGATATTTTGTGATTAATGTATATGTTTTTCTACTCCCCGGGAAGAAATGAAACACGGGGAGGTCTGAAGTCATTACAAAAGGTTCAGGAAAGTTGTAATAAAAGCAGATTTACATCAATTGCATCAGTTCTCCAGCAATGCTATATTTAAGCAAATCAAAGGTTAGCATTCTCAGATTATATATATATAACTACAGCTAATTTTTTTCCAAAGCAAAAGCTCACTGTATAAATGTTAGTAAATCACTGACATTTGATACTTTTTGTTGTCAATAGGCCAGGAAGAGGAAGTTCAAGATATGATAAATTATATAAAGGAAATAATCTGTGGGAGAAGCAATTCACATGCAAATAAACATTTGTCATGTTTCTATATTGATTTGCAAAATATAAGCAAATACATTTTTGATACTGCTAATAAATTATTTATAGACAGAGATTTGATTCTGGAAAAATGTATACAATGAGTTAACTTCTCAATTCCATGTTTGCAAGAAATATTTCTTCTGCTGCTGGAATACATCTCTGTGATTTACATATGAACAGAGAAGAGTACTTTCCCATCAGTGCTCAGACTGCTACTGAAAGGAGTAAGTATTAACAGACTTCTGTACAACCAGTGAAGGACAGCATCTTTCAGCTTCTGCTTCATTAAAACACTGAAAACTCCTTCCTGAGAAATGCATTTTTAAATTATTAGAAAGAACTGTATTTGAAACTCAGCACATTAGATGATCTACTTTCACATTTTGAAGTCTGAAAATTATCTGTTGAGCCAAGAGACAGTTGTCATCAACTTAAATGGTAGCAAAAAAAGGCTCTCACAAGAAATATTTAAAGTTATTTCATATTTGGGGTTCAATTTTGCATTTAATGGGCATAGATACTGCACTAAGTCATGAATTGAAAGGGTTTTTAGGAGACTGGTGTACTGATATACAAGTCCGAGGGAAAAAACCCAACTTTTTTTCTTAAAATAGGATATGAAGTTCAATATATACACACAGGATAAGTATGTTTGCTCCTTGTGAGAATCCTATCTCTTGTAAAAGTTGCCACAACCCAAACTTCTGGAGAAATTAATTTGTATAACAAGAAAAGTGGAACTTGCATGCAGAAAAACAAGCAGCAGCAATACAAACATGGGATAGGAGCACTTCAACCAAAATGAGTTAGAAGTGTGCATTGACCTCTTGATTCATCCTGGCATTTGACAGTAGATCACAAAGATTTAGAGGAATTAAGAGATGGACAAACTTAGGCTGCAGTTTCTTGTGATGAATAAGTATTCATCACATCTACTACTATAAGGTTGTGTTGGAGTTGAAACCTTCCAAGAAGACAAGTCAGAGTACCTAGCAGTATGATGCATCCACATCATATCAGCAAAGTAGTATTATCGTGATGTTGTGGGTTAACCCTGGAGGACAGTTAAACCACATACAGCCGCTCAAAAGAGTTACAGCATGAAAATTTGTGGGTTGAGGTAAAGACATTTTAAAAGGTAAAACAAAGCTGCATGCACAAGGCAAAGCAAAATAGTAATTCATTCACTACTTCTAATCAGCAGGCTGGTGTTTAGCTGCTTCTAGGAAAGCAGGGCTTCAACACATGTAATAGTCTCGGGAAGATAAATGTCATAACTCTGAACACCCCTCTGCTCCTTCCTCAATCTTTCCCCCAGCTTTTTATTGCTGAATGTGACATCATATGATATGGAATATCCCTTTGGTCAGTTGAGGTCAGCTGTCCCAGTTGTCCTCCCTTCCAACTTCTTGTGCAGCTCCAGCCTCCTCACTGGTAGGGCAGGGTGAGAAGCAGAAAAGGTCTGGACACTGTGCAAGCGCTGCACAGCAACAACTAAAACATCATGTGTCACCCACACTGTTTTGGTCACAAAACCAAAACACAGAATCATAGGAGCTACTATGAAGAAAATTAAATCTATCCCAGCTAAAACCAGTACACACGACAAAATGGAAGAGGATAAAAAACCAAAACCACCCTTTTTTATAATTCTTCATTCTCACTGATAAAAACAATTAACGTGGACCATCCTGCAGAATGAATGCCTGTAAACACAATATAATTGAAGTGGTCATGGGTGGGTTTTTTCATATATTTAATGTGGTATTAAATGCAGATTTTCTTTACTTATTCATTTTCAATAACTTTACTTAGCGTTGAATTTCACCAAAACAAAGAAGATACTTGTTCTGTGTTAATCTAGGCATAAGACTGGTAGGTGTACATACAAGAAGAAACCTTTGGTACACACCGTTCTTATCATACCAAAATAGTACACTTGCATTTGGCTAGCACTGACACCCAGCTGCTTTTAGAAAACTACCACTAGCCATTGTCTGACTGGCACCAAGTCAGCTGAGCCTTAAGCAATGTAAAGAATGTGCATTTACAGCACTGTCCACTTAAAATATACTCAAGGTGACATCAGAAGACATTCCAGCTCAGTTTCTTTCAATATACTGGTTTAAAACGTTTTCACTTAAACATTAAATAATTGATAATTCTCACTGCATTTGGGATACAGACTTATCCCAGGACAAAATTAACTAATTTGTTTTCTTGACAACTTGTAGAAGCAAAAAAACAGCATTGAGAAGATTCTCTAGCAACAGTAATATTTTTACACTGATTGAATTCATGTCATTCATTAGCATTATTACGTTTGCTTTGCTTCAATGTTTACAGTGTATTATATTTTCTTTAATTACAT